TTTCCCCCCTCAACTATAAAGGTTGGATGGGGGGGGGGGGGGAAATGAAATCTGCATCCCCTACTGCTAATGGTTGAGATGTTCCTCTCAAAGTCACAGGGGAGAAAAGATGCACATTTAAATAAATGCAGCAGCAAATATCTTATGCAGACGTCAGAGCTTGTACTCCATAGTACAACCTTATATGAAGCAGAAGCAGAAAAGAAAAAGAAAAAAAAAACGCGCGATATATGTATGTATCACAACAAAGCGCTTGCAAATGTCCGAGATTTGTCTAGCCTACTGGAAAAGCCCCCTCATCTCTCGATTGAATCCCCGAGCATGTTCCTGCACTTGTTCAGAGCAAATGATGACACACTTCAATTGCAATAACACCTCCAGGAACCGAGAAAACAATCAAGACTGGAACAAAATCTCCGACGCACACGCTTGGATTTCAAAAGAAGAGAAAAGGACATTGTCCTTTTTTGAATGTGCTGAATAAAATGTAGGTGTTTGTTGAAAAAATAAAATAAAAGCGAAAGCGAACTAAAGAGGAAAGGTAGTCTGTCCACGCGCTTGCCTAGCGGAGGAATGATGTCTGTACTTGTCGGCTCGCGAGCTGCAACCTATTAAAATGCTGCGAGAGTATCCCGGCGCATTTTCATGCATTTCTTCCACTTTTCCACATTCTTCAGCTCAACACACCCTCAAAATAACAATGGATGGATAAATAACCATTTGAAATCAGAGCCGCTCTTTGCACACGCTAGCATGCAGTTGGAAATTTCAGATCAAGATTAACCATCAAATGAAATGATAAAAAATATTGTGCACAGACACATAAGAGGTGTGATTTCTTGTTCATGTATTTTTACTCAGAAGATAAGGGATGCAGGCATTTGCTGTCTAGTTGCTAGGCAACCATGCTAGCGGCGATGCAGAGCAGTGGTGTTTCGATGACACATTTAAAGGAGCTTCTCTGTTGCATCTCCTGGATGTGGGCCCTAGTGGTGATGTGGGCATCCTCGACCCCCAGTTAGCTCCTTGATGGTCCCCACTGAAACATGAGGAACATTGATGTGAAGGGCAGAGATAGGCGGCCGTCAGCACTATCTGCAGAAGTTCAGCTGCAATTTACAAGATTAGTTTAATGAGGCATTACAAGCCATATCAGTAACACCCCTTGATTTTACACCATATGTTTACTGGGTGTAATGTGGAGTGGATTCAGATGTGTGCTTGGCAATAGTCTTGGGTATATGGAATCCTAATGAACTGCCTTTTATGAGACTTTTAAAACCTTACTAGTGATCCTCCGTGTGTCACAATGAATACAAATACAAATTATCACAGATCTACAAAATATATTCTGCTGGGTTGTCCATGTCTGTCTTCTTTGAAAGAAAGGACCAATAAGATGTACCTTTGCTGAAGACTATGAAGATTAATTTCAGGACCATGGACAACGTCATGTCCGCTCAGCTGAGGAAGAGTGGCTTCAGGACCACGGACAAGGTTCTGGATCGCTGTTGTACAGTCCATGTAGAAATGAAAGACTGAAAAAAGCTAAATACTCAAAAAACACATACTGGTTGTGTTTGTTTTCATTTCGGAACAGTCCCCAAAAATCCATATGATTTATGGACATGTACAAAACACTGTAGTCAGAGTAAAAGCCCAAAATATATGGACTACACCTGTTCTGAACACACTAAACAAGCTTCTTTTTTTTAGAACTAGTCTTCTGCTTATGTTCCATGTCATTCACTTGGACCGTACATTGTTGTTGTGCTTAATGTTCTGGAGAGGAAATTCCAGTGGGGGAAATGGGTGAAGCAACCTTTCACTTTCATAGACTAAAACATAAAATACTGTATATCATTCCATCCATCATGACAAACACCTTTAAGCAATTCAAACTATATATTATTATTGTTGTTGTGACAGCTAACTAGGTAAACCAATGTACTAACAACTTATAGTTGTGTCTTGATTTTAAAACTTAAAAAAAAAAAAAAAAAAAAAAAAAGATCTGCTTTAAATTAGTACACATTCATACCTTTTGTTTGTCTCTAGATATATATTTTGGATCAGCCAAGATTATTCAATTCCAAATTATGGCATCACCATCACGTCATTTTTGGTAGAGCTATCATCACCAACACGCACATGTGTTTTACAATGAATATGCATTATTCAGCCTCTGTGTTTGAGAGTTACGGAGCAAATTTATCATGTGATTAGCTAATGGAGTCATGTTTGTACAAGTAAAGTCCTGCTAATCCCATAGACCCAAGGGTCGAATGAGCCTACACTGATACAAATGCTTTCACTGGTAAAATGGAGAAAAACTTGACACACCTCTTTCAAGTGCATGTAGAGAATAAGAAGGTCATTAAGACACATTTCCTAGTTACTTTTAAGTTTCACCCTCTATCCAACCTCGGGTTGGATGCAAGACATCTTTGCAGTCATCACATTAAAGTAAGGTACTTTAGCGAGAGCTCCAGGCTGTCCGAATGCCGTTAGATGCTTTAAAAAATTAGAATGACTGGGATAATGACAATTGAAATGACAGTGCTCCTTTGACAATACTGTATGCGTAGTTATTTGAATCTAAATTGCTTTATGGTCAAGCAATAGAAGAAACATGGCTGCAGGCACAAGAGACCAAGATTTCTGATGCCTTCACTTTTATTATATATATATATATATATACATACACACGCACACACAGTATATTTTAAAAATATTTACATGTATTTATTTACATACATGTATTTATATTCATATAATTTATATTATATATAAATATATTTAATATATAAACATAACATTTATCTGAAATACATACTGTACATTCATGTGCGTATTTATATATACATAATAAATATACACAGTACACACACAAATATAATGTAAACAAAATCTTTTATTTTGGATGCGATTAATCGCGATCCTATGTCATACCCATGTTATTATACAAATTTGTGTCCTCATAAACCACATAAACATGCACACACACACACATTTTTTGTTACTATGTTTTCATCATTTATGATGACTCATGTCACAGGCCAAAACTTTAAAACTTCAGCTACAAATCTCAGAAATATATAACAAAAACAACTATATAATATTATAACAATAATAATAAACCAAATAGAGGGGGAGAGAGAGAGAGAATTCTCCTGACCAAAAGTGTTCATGGAACACCCAGCTATTCTTCTCAAAAATTCACTATAATCCTTCTTCACAATGTACTGTATAGAGAGCCTATTAAATGTTGAGAAGACACAATCATCATTTATCAGTTGTAGATTTTTCATGCCCTTTATTTTTTGTTGCATGTTGTCCCAGGGGAGGCTGGAAAAGAAAATGTATTTCTGTCTCCATTTAAATATCTGGAAACTTAAAGGCAATCATGAGGTAAATTCGAATAGCAACAGCAATTTCACCAGTGCTGACTCACTCAAAAATTTGCTTTGGAAAGCATACGTGAACGTATGCACTTTGGAAGTGCTACAACACTTGAATCTGTTTGTTGCAAAATCTCTGATTAAAAATGTCACTCAGTTGTATTGCGGAAGGCTAATTAAGTATTTTTTTTTTCAACTCTCCCTGTGAGGTTTACATCATGATGTATTGCTTTATCTGTAGTAATGCAGTCCTGAAACGGCTTAGATAGACATTCTTTCTGTTTCCATTGCTGAATTCTGAAAATGCACTTTTGGGCAGTTTATTTGTGCTTACACTAATTATTTCAAACTTTGCTTGAGTGCGACATACACTTAAGTGTTAATGTTTAAAATCTGCAGAACACAAGAGGACATTGCATCATTCACCCACTTAAATGAATAGTTTACCTGAGAAGGAACCTTTCCTGAAAATGTAATTTCGCCTTAGGTGATCCAAGATGAGTTTGTGTCTTCATCAGAACTTTTTTAATTTACATTTTTATTTATTTATTATGTATTTATTTTTTTTGGAAATAAATTAATACTTTTATTCAGCTTGGA